AGAAGATCAACGTAAGTACAATCTATTATTTCTAATATTAATGAATTTCAAGCAAATATTATCTATTATGTTTGAAATTGTTATTAGTTTAATTGTCGGTGGTTTTGTAATTGTTTATTATATATATATAATAATATATATATATATAGATATAAACAAGCATCTGTTCTTAAGTATCTATAAACAAAATTTGACTGAATTTTAAAGCTTCAAGCTTGATATTTTGGTTTCGTCATTGACTTTAATATTGTTATTTTTTACATTTTAAATTTATAGAGAGTAAAGAACCTAATACCAAATGACTTAAAATTTATAATATGTTCTGTTCAAGAATTGGATGATTGCGTTATGTGGTTGTGAACATTGTAGAGGAAAGGTATATATAATTTACAAATAACTTTTTAAATGTTTTGTGATTAAAAGATATAATTTAATATGTTTAGTAATTTTCTGGGACTCTCTTCCAATAGATACAAATTTCTAAAATTGTACTTTTCATCACAACTAAAAAGAAAAATCAAATATTTTTTAAAACGTTTAAATAAGCACTGTAAAGTTTGAATTTCAGTTTTAGGGTCATAGTATCAAATACTGTTATAATGTTATTTGTATGCTATATTAATAATCACCATACCAAGTTTTGTCTGTTAATTGATTTTTTCTATTTATTTTTTGATAATCGTACTAAAAATGGTTTTTTATGTTTATTTCAGGTGATGCTAAAAAAACAAATTCTAAAAGAAATGGTAAACGATATTCAAGTCATCCGTATGGTCGTCAACAAGATAGAAGGCGACTTGAAAATTGTAAGTTTTAATTAATGTTAAGATGTTACAATGTTATTTGTATGCTATATTAATAATCACCGTATCAAGTTTTGTCTGTTAATTGATTTTTTCTATTTATTTTTGATAATCGTACTATAAATGATTTTTTATGTTTATTTTAGGTAATGGTAAAAAAACAAATCCTAAAAGAGATCCTACACAATATTCAAATCATCAACATGATAGAAGGCGACTTGAAAATTGTAGGTTTTAATTAATGTTAAGATGTTACAATGTTATTTGTATGCTATATTAATAATCACCGTATCAAGTTTTGTCTGTTAATTGATTTTTTCTATTTATTTTTTGATAATCGTACTAAAAATGATTTTTTGTTTATTTCAGGTAATGGTAAAAAAAAATCCTAAAAGAGATCCTACACAATATTCAAATCATCAACATGATAGAAGGCGACTTGAAAATTGTAGGTTTTAATTAATGTTAAGTTGAAAATAATTTATCTAATAAAATTGTATTTTCAGATAATATGGATGCTCTGATAAAATTTTTTAAAAGTCAGCAAGACAGCCATGTCAGGCTGTTGGAGTACCAGGCCCGCCTCCTTATGGAATGTATGAGAAAATAAAGAATTTACATAAAATATGTTTTTTCTTTTTTCTCAAATATGTTTCTGTCAGGTACTTGTAAATTATTTTGAACAGAAATGATTTTCATTATTTTTTCTCTAAAATTGGCTATTTTTGAGTTATAAGCGATTCAAGGTTTAAGAAGTCTCAAGTTTAATGCTCGAAAAGTTCCATTAGTTACATTTTTTGAATTCGTCGAGTGTTAAAATTAATGTTTAAATTTTGGTTTATATGATGAGTATGCGATATCAAATTTGGTGAACTCTTGTTTTTCACAGACAGTACATTAATCATCAAATAGCACTCGACCTTCAAGGTTCTTTAATAAATGTGACTAAAAATTCACAGAATAAAGTATGACTGTATCCTGATAAGATTTGAAATTTCATTTTTTATTTAGTGAACTCTTACATTCTAAAAGTAGCTGATTGATGAATTTTTTGCTAAACTGAAAGTATAGTAACCATAAAGGATAAATGAAATAAAAAAATAGCATACAGTTATATATGTTTATTGTTATAAAAACAGTTCATCAGATTTTATAGCTAACAATTGATATGTACAAACTAAAAAAGATGTACAATTAGAAGGTATCTATTATTGAGAATTTATAGTTTAACAGATTTCAGTGCTAACAATTGATGTTTTCGAATGAAACACCAGGTAAGATGTATCTCATACTGTTGACAGCAGTATAGTTAAATGCTTCCAACGCTTAAAAAATACAATTGGGGCATTATAGAAATCAATTTACATACTATACATACATATTACAATAACAAAATTTAATAGACAATAAAGCAAAATCAAAAAAATATAACATTCCAAGAAAAAAAATTAAAACATCTTTTCTTTTTTGAGAAATTGATAGGTAGAAATATAGGTAAATATAAAAAATATAGTTTGCTTGTGTTTGTCTGATCAAGAAACAATTAACCATGGACAACTGCTATGTAACTTCCAATTGAGCACTAATGTGAAATTGGTAATTAATTTTTAGCAGTCCATATTTTCTATACCAACTGTTAACTTTTAGATAATTGCAAAGAATTTTAAATTTCAATAACTTATCGTATCATATCATTATTTCGTCTTTTTCATCTAGTCAGAAAAAATGACACAATTTAAATATGTAGGAAAAGTGTTCGTTCGTTAATAAGTTGTTGTTAGCCCCATCTTTGTAAGGGCTATTGAAAATCACAGAAGTAGATATCGTTCAAAAATGAGTGAATTTTTTTCTTGTGTTAGTAGCTGTAAGGGTTTGTATTATTTTCTTTGGATCTGTCATACAGAGTTGTTCATTCCTTTAACACGTTCGCTACCACGGGTTAAAATTGTGTATGTTGCCACAGACTAACTTCTTATATTGCGATATTATTATTTATAAACCGAGTTTCACGTACATATTAATGATTATAAGCTAAGAATACACTTTCTGAGAAATTTCGGAGCATTTTTGATCTGACTCATATATGAGACGCCGGTCTATGACACGACCTAGCTTGTGATCGAGCGAAGAATAAACCAAGTGTCTCATATATGAGACATCGCAAAAGAGTATATATGCAAAGTACAAAATATATTTGTATCAAAATACAAAGAGAGTAATTCTAAATATCAAAAAACATAACAGAAACAATCAAATCCTTTGGTGAAAAACATAGGACCAAAAAAACACTCGAGAAGATAGTTAGAGCCTTCGTGGTATTCCTGGAAACAATTGTCCACGCAAAGGCCAATCATTTGTCCGTCTTTATCCTTACAAATCTCACAAACGTAAAAAGTCTGTGATTTCTTTTTGTTTGCCGAGCATACTCTACATCTTCTCCGTTTGTCCTGTTTTTTTGGATAATGCTGGTTCCCTGGGGTAGTTTTGGCTTTTTCCTGGGCTTGTTTCAGGAACTCAATTACAATAATCTCTCTAAACTGAAGAAATGACAGCCTTTTTCGATTTAATTTGTTGTACAAATGTGTTGCATTCCATAGGCATATGTCCACGAAATGGAAAAACACTTTCAGGTACCACCTGACAGTTTTCCTGGGAGTAGTGTAATAGGATAACATCTGGTCATTCCTGTCAACTCCAAACTGTCATTTGTCAAAAATCAAGCCGCTTTTCCAAAAACATAAATCAATTTCAAGCGGATAACCAAATGGAAATGGTATTTACCATTTTGGGTTGGTATTTACCGATCGGTTCAACCGAGTGTGATTATCAATTTGGTTATAAGATCCGTGACGTCACGAATCAGCTGTTATATGTTATTGTTATCACCGCAAAATTGTGGTATTTACCCAACTCAAGAGTAGTTTTATATTTCTGGTTATTATTTGAAATGTGACAAGTTGGAATTTTGCCAGGTATTGGATATTGTTATTGTACTTCAGCTTGATTTTTGAGGAAAATGATACAGTCTGACTTCAGTTTTACCATAAAGTGGAGCACCTTATTAGTTATACTCATTACGGTTGTTGGGGACACTAAATGTAGTTCCTATGCTTAACAAAGAATCCTGTGTAGCCATATACCACAAGAATATTAAAATATGGCCATATAAACTCACTACATGATATCCACCTGTATACGGTTTTGCTAATTTCTTTTTTCATCATTTCTGCTGAATCAATAAATGTTTTCTTTGACATGCGGAAAAATTAAGAGGCCATGGTTCCATCATTAAAAAAAAATCTGAAGAAACATTTCTTTCATGAATATTATGAAAGGTTTCTTATTTAAACTTTCCATATACAGTTGTAGACGAAAAAGCACCGATTATTAAGTGATAATAAAAATAATCAGAGATTATATACGCGCTTTTCTAAAATAAACAAATTGCAACAAAACCGCGGTTAAAACCAACGCGTTCAAGCGATTCGTGTAACTGACGTCATCAACCCATGTGTCATCTTGAACCATATTATAACCGCGGCACATAACACAGAAATTATGGTTATTCGCTTGGATTTGATTATGTACACTGAAGAAGATTTAATTCCATGCTATTCAATGTCAACACGCAACACGGTGACTTGTGTGGTTGTCAGCGGTCATTTTTTGAGGGTGCAACACGGTTACTAGATTGTGCATTAACCTCGCAACGTTGCCAGCTCCACGAATAAATCTGAGATTGCTATACTTTTTTATATAGAAATTTAGTGGTATATAGGAGACCTAACAGAATGTGGTATTAATATTTTGCGCTATTTTGACGAATAAGTGCTTTTTTGTATATTAAAATAGCAACGTCAATAATACAAGCTGTTATAATCTCACTCATATCTAGTTACCAATCTGGAAAGGTTCAGAAGAAAAACATACTGCATCTCTGTTATCTGAAATCATCTGTTATCTTTTATCTGTTACCACCTGTTACCTGTTATCCGTTACCACCTGTTACATGTTTTCTGTTATCTTCCATATAGCATTGAAAATATCCTGAATAAAATTGTGTAACAGACTCAGATTTATGTGAGATGTCGGCAACGTCGCATGTGTTGTTGTTAATACTGTACATGACGGTATAAAATCTTCTATGTAGCATTAATGCTCTCTATAAAATTGTATCACAGACTTAGATTTATATGAGGAGCCAGCAACGTCACGTATGTTTGGCAATCATGTGATGTGAAAAAAATGACGCTAGACGCTGACATAAATCTGCCGTGTCTATGGATAGCACTGGACTATACCGTCTTCAGTGTATTATCAAATTCAAGCGAATAACCAAAATTTCTGTGTTATGTGCCGCGGTTATATTATGGTTCAAGATGACACACGGGTTGATGACGTCAGTTACACGCTCGCTTGAACGCGTTGGTTTTAACCGCGGTTTTGTTGCAAGTTGTTTATTTTAGAAAAGCGCGTATATAATCTCTGATTATTTTTATTATCACTTCATAATCGGTGCTTTTTCGTCTATAACAGCTAATTCGTGACGTCACGGATCTTATAACCAAACTGATAACTACACTCGGTTGAACGGATTGGTAAACACCAACCCAAAATGGTAAATACCATTTCCATTTGGTTATTCGCTTGAATTTGATTCATATGTTTTCTGTTTTGTAATGTCAATGTCATTGTCATAGGTAATTTTTTCTAACCTGGAAAATAAAATGTAATACTGTTTTCTTTAAAATTAAAATTCAATAATTCCCTATTGTGATAATGAACATAATGAAAAGAAAAATTAAGATTCTGAAAGTTAATTCCTAAATATCATAGTAAGGAAATCCGTAAAACTAAAAAAAAAGTAAACATAAACACCTTGAGAAAACTTCTTCCGTATCAAGTGGTTAAAGTGGAGTTTTAAAACAATTTTTGTTGAAAATAAGGCCGTTAGTTTACAAGCAGGTATGTAACTAAGCGATCCGCTAATGTGTGGGTATCTTGCTTATGAAAAATGCTGTATTTATATCATTGCTATTCATATAAGCTACCGTTTTTGATAGGATATTTTCAAATTGAACTTTTGTCTTATTGTTACTATTTATTACAGAAAATGGTGCAATGCTGGGCACCCGACTGTAAGCAGTATAATGTTAGAGAAACACGTAAGATGTTCAGGTTTCCCAAAGATCCAAAAACAAGGAATCATTGGATAAAACTTACAAGGTAACACCACAAAGACCATACTGGAATTATCATTTGTTAGGAACATGCGAAACGTACAATTGAATACAATAAAAGTAATACATGTATTGTTTTGATTGCAGGAGAACAGTTGAACCAGGTCTTGGTGCATACTTATGTAGTTGTCATTTTGTGGATGGTAAAAAAGAAAATGGACCTACACTGTTTAGGTATAATAGGGAGAAGCAATTAAACTTTCCATCACCAGAAAGAAGAACCCGTAAAAAGACCATTGATAAACCTTTTAATATTGATGTAGATATAAGGTTAGTTATACAATATCAATTTCATTCACGTGTGTGCAAATTCAGTGTGTTCACAGATCTGAAAGCGAGCCACAACCATCCACCTCAATACAA